GCCTGTCAGAAATCATAGCACGTCAGCTGTCTTAACCGCGGCTTGTGTACTGCATTATCACTGTGTCTGTCACGCGACTCTGTTGCCCTTTCGGGCTTGAACTGATGGTAAAACTAACGACATTATTAACTGTCTTGATATTTACTTTGAAAGCTGAAGCTGCGATTATGGTAAGGGGCGTTACATTTCCGACGCGTGCTTGTGGTGTTCGGCCAATCACAATGCACTGGGTCAGCTGGCCAATCAGAGCAGACTGCGCTTGTCAAAGGAGGGGGCTTTGTTGAAAACGACGTGTTTGAGAGAGGCGGGGCATAGAGGACCTACAATAATGTACAGTATTTGAAAAATAATCTGTTTTTTGAACATTAAAGCATGTCAACATATTCTGTTACACCAAATACACAAAATAATGATCGTTAAAATAGCATCATATGACCCCTTTAAAATTGCAATCACAAACCACTGGGAAAAAAATATGTGACATGCTTACTGGTAAAATAGCAAATGTGATCAAGCCACATGTTTTGAGGAATCATTCACGTGTAGGATAAACTGCGCAGAATGACCCTTGTGAAAAAGAAGTGTGCTAAATTGTATTAAATGTGCAATACAATTAAGCACACTAGTGAACTTCAGATCTTAAAAGTACATTTCTTAAAAAACCAAAGCAAATAATATAATATTAATGAAATAAAAGGCCAATTAAGCATACTTGAAGAGAGACACTTTCATGACTTTCATAAAAAATGTAAAATAAAACGTTTTACTTTAAAGTACATTATAAATCATTCTATTTTAATGTTTTAAAGTTGAACTTTCAAAAAGTACACTTGTTTTGATGTGCTGACTAACATACTGAAGCACATATAAAGTACTTGATTATAAGTTTGCCTGTAGTGTCTTATTTGATATTACATTAAAAGTTAATATATTAAATGTACTAAATTGCAACTTCATAATAGTGTTATTATTAATATATTTAAATACATGACATGCAAGTTTCAATAGAAATGGCATTAAAGTATAATTTAGTTTATCATAAATGCTTGTCAGTACACTTTAACCATATTTCAAAGACAACATAGGTAATTATGAAATTACATATGTGACCATGGACCACAAAACCAGTCATAAGTGTAAATTTTTCGAAATTGATATTTATACATCATCTGAAAGCTGAATAAATAAGCTTTCCATTGATATATGGTTTGTTATGATAGGACAATATTTGGCCGAGATACAACTATTTGAAAATCTGCAATCTGAGGGTGCAAAAAAATCATAATATTGAGAAAATCACCTTTAAATTATCCAAATGAAGTTCTTAGCAATGCATATTACTAATCAAAAATTAAGTGTTAATATATTTACGGTAGGAAATTTACAAAATATCTTCATGGAACATAATCTTTACTTAATATCCTACTGATTTTTGGCATAAAAGAAAAATCAATAATTTTGACCCATACAATGTATTGTTGGTTATTGCTACAAATATACCCCAGCGACTTAAGACTGCTTTTGTGCTCCAGGGTCACATATAAAGATGTACTTAAGTCCTACTTAAGAGGGCCAAAAAAGCACTCTGAAGGTCATCTATGTGCATTTAATATAAATTGAGACTATAATACTTTTTAATTTAATTGCAATTAACATGCAATAAAGTGTCAGAACACATTACATTCAGTTTGCACTTGGGTATGCTCTTTTAAAGTCAATAATTTCCATAATAAGTGCCTTTTTTTTAACGTTCTTGTCTTTCCTTCAGCTCCGACTGCAGCTGTGGGAGGCTTACTGTCAGGTGCGCTCCATCTGCTCCCAGCTGAGAGGAAATGACATCACAGACTCCGCCTTATCCACAGACTCTTCCATGGACGAGTCTTCGGAGACGCTGTCGGCTAAAGATGTCCCCACGGGGAGTTTGCACGCTAATCTTCTGGAGCTGCGCAGACTCACGCAAAACCTGCTGGACGGCAACGAATCTACGGTAACAATCATCGCACGTTTTACTGCGAACATTCAGATTATTATTATTATTCAATATGTGTTTTGCGTGCATTCAGAGTTCACGGCGCAGTGAGGAGGAGGTTCTGGAGGAGCAGGTGCGTAAATTGAGCGAGGAGCTGCGAGAGCTTCGAGAACTGTACGAACAGGAGCAGGAAAAAACACACAACAGCCAGGAGGAGGTGCTACAGCTCCATAACCAGGTAGACACACATACATACTTACTGTTTTTAAATACCCGAGTTCATTCATTCATCTGTCCTGCTCTGGATCCTGTAGGTGGCGTTGCTCTCGGTGGAAGTTTCTTCTTCAAGAGAGGAAAATGAGCACTTGAGAGCGATGGCAGAAGTACACGAGCCCAACGAACAGTTACAGAGCGCTATACGAGATAGAGATGAAGCCATTGCTAAGTACGGCACACGTATACATACATGCTTTTAAAGCAGTAGTTCACCTAAAAATTTAAATTTGTTGAAAATTTACTCACCGTCCAAGATGTAGATGACTTTATTTCTTCATCTGAACAGATTTGGAGAAATTTAGCATTACATCACTTGCTCTAACAAAACTTTCAGGAAATTTTCACTTTTTTGGGTGAACTTTTCCTTTAAAGTTAATTCTCCATGTCTCTCACACTTTAATCATATTTCAAAGACAATAAACAATTATGAAATTATATAAAGGTACTGAAGTCCTACTTAAGTGGGCCAAAAAACACTGTAAAGTTCACCTAATTGCATTTAAAATCAGTTTAAACTGTAATACATTTATATTTATTCACAATTACCATGCAATTAAGTGTCTAAAAACATCATGTTCAGTTTGCACTTAAATGTCCCCTGAAATGCTTAGAAACACGCAGCGTTACTTTGTGTTGACGTCATTTTAACTGAAAAAGGAAGACAGGGCGGGACATATCAAGCAGCCCCGCCCCTTTTTAAAATAGCCAATAGTATTCGTTTATATCACAGCTTGGGCTAGAGCCGTTCAGAGCCGTTGAGCTCCATAA